AGGAAAGTGGTGATTGGAAGAGAGGGTCCCATGGAGGTGGGGCAGCACTGTTCTGAGCTGACTTCCTTTTATGCCTTGAGACTTATGCTCAGTGCGCCTGTGTCAACTTCCCTGCCCCCCCCATATCCCGAACTCACTTCCAGGAGGGCTCAAAAGGGCTGGCTGCACATGTGTGGACAGAATGAAGTGAAAATATAGTTTACATAAGAGGCTTGCACCATGTTAACCATAATAGTAAGTGGATTGGTCCCCCTCCCTCTCTTTTTCCTCTTGCTTTCTTTGTCTCGCTCTCTTTGTTGACCTGAGATCTGGACTCTTCCTGTGACAGGACCAACACAGGACCAGTGATCTTCTTTCTTCTCTTTCTCTCTTATCTGCCTTTATTTCTCCTCTCCATTTCTTTGTCTTGGCAAAGTGTTGTTATCATATTCTATCCCTTATTCTCTGCTGAGGTTTGTTGTGATGAGTGGGGAGCTTACTGGAGTGTGTTCCAAAAATTAAAGGCTTGTTAGCCAACATTTTTGAGACTAAATAATGGGATAGTTGACAGAGTTTAGGTGACTATATAATAAAAGCATAAGAGTTCCCTGACACTTTGGTGTCTTTGTTCAGCCTGATGAGAATTTATAACAAATGTCATGCCCCTCTATGCTCTCCTACCAAGTGGCTTATGACAGTAAGAAGTGAGCTAAGTAAGATGCTGAGATATAGTAGAAACTTAAAGTGTATGAGGTACTTCATAGGATGTAAAATAATCTTTTGAACCCCTTTTCAGTCTATTGGACATTGATAGACATTGTTTGATTCTTTCAGCATATTTAAAGGTTGTGGTTTTAACTTTAGGTGGAATGAGAAGTGTTCACAGGATGACAAAAACATTACTGCTGCTCAGTTGTCAACAGTTTTTACTCCAGTCAGCCTCCAGTTGTTCATATATTAGTACTGTCAGAAGCAGTGTTTATATGAATTGAATGATTACTGACAAACAAAGCATTGGAAACATAATGAATAAAGAAATCTGGTAGATTTTCAGGACTTCTAAATAGTCCAGAAATTTAATGATAGTTTTTATATGTCACTTTACCTTTATGCATTTTGTGCGTATATGTGCCCAACTTTAAAGAAACTGGTATAAATAATATTTTTTGTAATTGCTTTTGTTTGTCTATATGCTATTATTAAAAAAAAATTTGTTTGGTGATTTTAAAATTACCCCCTGGGGGTAAGTAAATGCTCACTTTAATTCAATTGTTGGTGTTTCTTATGTTTTACACAGGAGCTGGGAGAGTTTATGAGTATCTGAGCATCTTCAGTAATAGATTCTGACATTTCTGACTTCTAGTCAACAACGTTTAGAAAGCAGTCACTGCCATCTCTGTGACAGAACAGATTGTACACTGCAAAAAATGCATATACCAAAGCTTCTTTTTCAATGTGAGACTTAAAATGAGATATGTCTGGAGGGTAGGAACATACGGTTGCTCCATGAAGTCGTTTATAGGAGGTACTTCCTTTTCCTATCACAGCTGTGGCACTATCAGATGGTCTTTTTTTTGGTCTAATTTACTCAGCCAGAAGAATTTACTACATGCATAATATGATCCCAACCAAGTATTTCTAGTTGCCAGAAGAGCCAGCTCCAACAGCCCAGAGGACAAGCCCAAACACAGCAGACTTTTTTCCCCTCTTGTAATTCTCTGGAGCTCCTAGCAGAATTTTCCATTAAGGACAGCAATTTTAGTATAAAAAATTACAAACCAAAGAGAATCCTTTTCAAAAACAATTTTTGTTGGAAAGTGTGCCCCAGTCAACACACCCTTTTCTTTAAATCATGCCGCCTTTTAAAAGAGGTAAAGCAATTGTAACATATAATGCAAACTGAAAAATCAGAATACAAAACATTGCATTATAATTGCAATATATTTCTTGAAATTCACGTACTATTTCACAGTTACAGCAGGCTTTCTGTTTTTGGTTTTTTTCTAGTGGGGTTCAGTGACATAAGGTCTTTACTCTTACAAGTGAACTCTTCTGGTTCTGGTGAAGGCACTTAAACTTTCTATGAATAAGTGAAACATCTTCTCCTAGCAGAAACTTGAATTCCAGTGATTTAAAAAAAAAACACACCAGAAAACAAACCAAAACCAAAGTAACTCCTGATAAGAGCTGATTGTAAGGGAAAATATGACCTCTGAGAGATGAAGTCGAATATACAAACTCTTTTGTGCAGGAAGAGTTTATCAAGAACTGAATTAGTGTTAAAATCATGGCCAAAACATTAGGCATGTGAAACAATATTTTCTCAAGTAGTGGAAAATTTAGAATAAAAGTTAAAGTTCAAACAATGACAAAGGAAGAAAAGATTTCTTTCACTTTCTCACATTTTAAAGATTATTCTATCATGCTCATATGGGGGTGAAAATGTTCCTGCTCATACGTTATCAGCAAAGATTTATCCAAGGAAGAGTCCTTCTTTTGTGGTAAGATATTGATCTTTTGCCTGTGAGTGTTAAAAGAGTTTAGTATATTCTGTGCCAGTAAGAAGTTTATAACCTGAGAGCTGTATTTCTGATCTGCCTTGTTCTTTTGATTTTATCTACCTTTGATTTTCTGATTTAAAAGTCATTGTGCTATCTTCATGTGTTTCTTCTGAGACTTCCTGATATGAGGCAAAACATATGACTTTCTCAGTGTGTTGCCCACCATAAGAAAATTCTTTCCCGTATATAAACTCTGTTAAGTCTCCCTTTACTGAGCAAGGAAATCTCCATTTACAACTACGAGATTTCCTTTGAACAAAAAAAGGAGCTGTTGTAGTTGCTTTTTCTTTTCTCCCCAGACAGTTTCTGTAATGTAAACCAAATGGCCTGGGAGGACAGAACAATTATCCTGTATATCTAATAAGTACATTTATAAACAGACTCTGGTGGTCATAGCTATGAACTGCTGGGTTGTAGCTGTGAGCATGCTTGCAACCCCTTTTTGCCATTTGGGAAATTAAGACTGTTATTATAGGGATGAGAGATATCTGTGTCATATCCACACTGGGAAATTTATAGTTGGATCTTTCAGGCCAGTATATGAATTGGAGGAAGGGAAAGATTTTTGTTGCAGGACAGCGTAAGAGCTAAGGTGCAAATGCAAGATGTTTGTAAATTTGTTTTTATTTTGTACCTCCACATATCCCCTGTGCTCCCTCAGGAAAGTCAAAACTTGTCTACCTAATGTAGAAAATTGTCCTGCTAGTATATGATGATGATGATGTCATGTGTGATATTACCGATCTTAGAAAGCTCACAGGTGCAATTACATTTACATGCAAAAATTGACAAGTACGAAAAATATATGTGGTCTGAACATGATTAGTTCTATTCTGTGTTTCTAAGTTTCTGCTCCCCAAAATGAGCACAGTTTTTGGTAAATTTGTGTGTTTGCTTTAAATCACCTCTGGTCTGACTTCAGTAAATGTCTGATGTCTTGTTTGTTTCTGAACAACAGACAGACCGAAATAATATAAGTTCCTGGAGTGTAAACTAGCCTCATCTATCCATAAGAAGCATGAAACTTCATAGCTTAACTTTGGCTTTGGGCAATGTTGTGACTGAAAGCCAGATCCTCTATGGTGTAAATTAAATTAATTCTCCTCCTCTGCCTTCAGTGACTCGCACAAATTTACAGCAGCTGAGCACATGACCTTACACTCAGAGTCAATTTGTCCATAAGAGATACAGACAGTGTTGTGAAATGAAATGCATTTAGGTTTTTCAGTTTTCCTCCTGATATTTTTACTCATTCATTTCCTTTTTGCCTCCCGGTGCCTTTGGGAGTGAGACAAGAGGAACGGCATTTAAGCTTGATTCAGTGAAAAGGCATAGTACAATGGTATATTAGATTCATATATTGTTATGAATTCTTATTCTATAGCTTCATAATCTGTAGCTTTTATGTATATATTATGCTTGTACTATGGGGCTAAATTATGCCCACACATCCCTGTTCTTTTATTATCCATTTGCATTGCAGATGTAGACCTCTATTTGAAAACAAAATATGATTTTAGCATATTTTGCCAATATCTCTTAACTTTTTATATATATATACTAGAGATCACAGTTCATCTACAAATTTAGCATCCGTTTCTTTATTTTAATATATGATGTCACCTTGACTTACAAGCTGAAGATATGACTTATTTTTCACATGTTCTGTGTTTTTAAAATGGATTCAGTACTCATTCAAATGTGTAAGGAGGAAAATTATCTTCCTTTATACTGTACCTGTTTTACAGGTGTTGATATAGCAACTTCAAACAGCAACAAGATGTCAGTGAACATGACAAGGCACATTATTTTTCACCATCTGTATTCAAAGGACTTAGGCAAATCAATGTTTGTATCCTTGTCTCTAAGGAACACTTATTGTCAGTTGAATTAAGTGTGTTTAATCCAGACAGTTTCTTCTGAATCTTAGGGAACACATGCTCTGCTTTTTTGCAGAGTCTGGGTAAGAACACAGGCTGATGAACATGTGTGTCTGTGAGGAAGAAGCATTGGACTATTTTTCCCAAAATATATTATTAGGGCACTTACTACATATCTCTTTCTTCCTCCAAAAGACTTCTTTTCTTATCTGATCCTGCTACTAGAAAAATCATTCTTGGTTAGATTTTTATGCAGAATTTTTAATTGAACTATTCTGGTAATTGCATGAATGTATTTATCTAACAATGAAAAGATAAATCAGTTTTCAGTAAAATGAGATGGTAATTATGCTTTTATTCAAAGGATGCTTTTTACCATATCTTAGCTAGAAAATCAATTTGATTAAACCCGAAGTTTCTCAAAACAGCTCTGCCTTCTTCTTCCCACTGCGCACAGCCTAGAAATAATTACAATCTAGCAGTTATAGCTTTTCATAAACAAGACCAAAATGCCATAGCATTTCTTTATTGAAAGCAATAAACATAAAGGTAGGTTAAAGTGTATAATCAGCTAGAGTTAAGCAGTTTTCATCCAGCCACTTTGCTGGAACTGATGATAATAACTAATTACAACTGTTTCATGCCAGGATCTCTTTAAGGTATAATTCTTGAGAATTTCTTTTTCCATCTGCAGGAAAACAATGTTAACAAAATGTTAGCTTTCAATATTATTGTAATGCCAAATTTCATACACATGTGAACAAGCTATTGAGAAACTGGGAGTATTTGTTCAGCCTCTGCATAACTCTGTGCTACTGAGGCCTCTGTAGGTACGAAATAGCTGAACCATAGTTGCTAGGAGACAGTAAAGCTATTAGTTTCAGCTACAACATGACCTGGGTCTGCTTCTCTTAGGGCATCCTTGCAGTGTGGGGAAATCCTGCATGGGAAGTTCAAAAAGCAGTAAAAAATTTCAGCAAGCTACTGGGCCTCAACTAAATATGTTCTGAATGGAGAGTATCAAAAGATAGCTTAACACAGGGAATCAGGGATTTAAAAGAAATAAATTCTTCATCTTCCCTCAAAATTACCTGCCCCACAATCTTAGAAAACTCAATTTGATATTTTCCAAACACATAACTTTCCAATATACAAAGGTGTTTTAGTAAATTCACTGATAAAAAAGTAGTGCTCTTATTCTTGTGAGTCCTTAATCCTATTTCTTGGAGAGTTTACTATTTTTCAAATGGACAGGTAGGTTTCTTATTGTAGGTCCAGCACCTTTTATAAAAGATAATCAGATTTTAATTCATCCAAGTAATGTATAAAACATGTATAAATGTACATTTCTGGTGAAATATTGATAAGAATTGTTGCTACTGAAAGTCACAAATTGACTCTGGTTTTGGTTTCTCTAGGAAAAATAAGTTTGTTGTTAAGATAACAGAATGGGACTCAACGGGACCATAGGTTTTAAGGAAAGGATTGTGCTGGACATCTCTTACAATCTCTTACATTGTGCTGCCCATTGCATTTCTTCAAATTTTTCTGAAATATGCCTATAACTTTTGATACGTTTGGAACATGATTTTGTAAGTTTGTTCTTGATTTTGACATATAAGTTTTGCAATGTATTCCATGTATCTGTGCTTTTGTTGCATCATCTCTGTGTAATGGAATATTTCCTTCTACACAGAATAGAGATTTATTCATGGCTGAGAACTGTTCAGATAGAATGGAGATTGAAAGTATTCTAAGAAGAAAAAAATGAGAGATTCCTTATTAAGTGGTAATGGTTACTGGAAGTAACACAGAAGAACTGAACAGCAGTTCAAGGCTCTTTCTGGTATTTTGAGGCCACAACAAAAACAAATGGTACCGTTTCTCTTTTCTCCTTGAATTTTTGGAACAGTTTAGGAAATGTAATCTATCAATACAGTATAAATATTTCCTTAAAGTTTGAGAATATATTTTAGAGCTTAGGATATAAAAATATTAAAATCTACCTTCATGCAGAATCAGATGGAAGGTACTCTGAGCACTCAAGCACTGATTTATGATTTAGTCAAGACATAGATTTATGATGACTCTTTCAGAGGCTTGATTGTTCTAGTACAAAACTCTGTGAAGGTGTTGTTGATGTTGGATGGATTGTTTCTGGGAAGGAGATAGGAAGTAAAATTAGGTTTTTCAACGAGCAGGGATACAATAACTCTAATACCTCATTTCGATGATTCAGCGATAACTGAGTGGTGACATCACATTCCAGGCATCCTCTTTCAAAACTCAGCTGAATTCAGAAACACATCCATGATTAGCAAACCAAATTATCTTCTACAAGAAGGAGTGAAAACATCAGACTTAGCATACTATGGCAACATTGTACTTTAAGAACCTCTGAAAATAAGAGCTAATCACAGTGTCCAGCACTTTTATAATTTGAAAATCTCAAAACACTTTACAATCTTGACCAAACATTAATGTTCTTTATTTTACCTAACCATAAACAGCATTTTGGATTAGGCCTTCTGATACTAAGTGGATAAGAAAGGATCCAATCAATCATTCTATTTGAAAAAAATATTATGAGGACTCTGGATTTACATAAAAATCTTGTCCAACATAAAATACCTAATTGATTTATGAGTCCACTTTGAAAGGAGATATAAACATAATTTCTGATGTATGAATGAATTTATTTCCATTCTGGATACCACATTACATGTGTTTCACAAGTTGCTCATCAAACTCTTCTGGATTTGAGCTATTTAGCTACCCCACTGGAAGTTCCATAAAATATTAGCAATGGTGAAATTTTTCAAAGACCTTTAAAAATTATTTATTAATTAATTTATTTATTTATTAATTATTATTTTAAAAATTATTTTGAAAGGAAGTGGGAATCTAACTCTTTCAAATCTCAAATTAATTTTCTGAAGTACAGTAAAATTAGAACAAAGTACAGTAAAATTAGAACAAGATAATTTTTCTTACTGCAATATGAAAAAATATTCTCTACATTACTGTACCTTTAAAGTCAGAAGAGAGAGAAATTACAGTGAGACAGTAAGATAATTTAATTTGCTTCATCTGCATGAAGCACCCTCTTTATGTACTGTACAAAACTAGAAGTTTCAAGAAATGCAATCAGCTATGTAATACAACAGACTTGTCAAATTTAAGTGCATTTTAACAATATGGTTTATTTTAAGTAGATTGTAAAGATCAACATTTAAATAGAAGACATAAATTTAATCTCTAGTGTACCAAGATTCTCAGATCTACAAAGAAAGAAATGGAATGTATTTGTTCCAACACTACTCAATGAGGAAAACATTTAATATTGTGGCTACCCCACTTCAGAGAAGATTAACGCTAAGTTACTAGTAGTCTTCTCCAGATTTAAAAGGCAGTAGATAAGTCTTTGCTACAGTACTATTAGTAAGATGAGGTCTTAATTTTCTGACTTCTTCTGAGAAGATTTTTTTTACAATAAAAGAGTAATTTTTCCAATATTCCATGTCTACCTTTGGTAATTAAGAACAATAAATTTGTGCAGATTTTTTGCCACTTATCATAAAAAGAAACTCATCTTACTGTGTATAGAAAATATATTTAATTTATATATCGTCCAGTTTCTAGAATACAGTCTAAAATATTGAAGTAGACTTGAGAAGTATCAAAATAATTTATGTTAATAAAATATTAATGATTATTTACACATGGTGATCAGACTCTATTATTCTACGTCTGAAAAGCAATATATCTAGGTAGGATTTTCTCTATTACAGTAGGACAAATATAATTAAAATCCAGCAGAAGAAATGCATCTTGGGCTGGCCTGAATTGCCCCAGGGAAGAAGTTCCAAAAGAGGATTCATTTGCTTAATTATGCTGTTTTGTAATGGAAAAATCCCCAAACCAGCACTCCTGGCATGGGAAGATTCCTGGTGCAGGCCCATTCCTGCTTTTATTCTTTATAGATGCTGTATTTTGTTCCTCCTACAAAAATTATCTCTGTATTTGCATTTGCATGTCATCTCACCTTTATTACCAAGTTGGAGTGAGAAAGGAAAAACAGTTTATGTGAACAGATATTTTTACTTCCTGGGACTTTATTACAAGTAGTTCTTTTAACACTTATGCTCTCTGAAACTTCTTCAGATTTCATGAAGGTCCTTTTCTTTTCAATTTGAGAGACCAAAGAATCCAGGCTTTTTCATTGGAAAAATAAGGATATTGAACAGTATTACACAATGTTTGTTATAATGCAGTTGTGGGGTTATCTTTGTCAACAAGAAACTCAACTTATTTTTCTTTTGAAGCTTCAACTTTTTTTTCCCCAGTCTCTTTCAAATGCTATAAAACAAGGAAGTTAAACAAAAAAACTTTATGAAATTACAGCTGGGGAAATCCTTTTCAGGTCCTATCATTAAATGCTGATGGTATATCTACTTATTGTAACTACAGTTAGGCCAAACTAGGCTTCATTGACCTTAGTTTCTTCACTATTAGGATATAAAATACATCTTTGAATTGGTCGACTTTTATATTCCTTTGACCACTTGTTTGTGTTTTGAGACTGGTAAACAACAAAACACATGTGAAGAGTATCCATTTTGAATGCATACCACCAAGTGGTGAGAATCAACCCCTTGTTCCCACAATAACTGTACTACCTTTGTCAGGTAGTGTTTGTGGTAACGATGATGATGACAATGATAATGATAATAACAATAAGAAGAAAGGATACAGACATGAAAGTGTTTTGCTTTAAAAACCTGAAGAGCTGTTTTTCAGCAGTAAGATGAAAGCACATTTTGTTAGCCTGGTAGAAAAGAATGAAATACGATCATAAGAGGGAAAAAAAATCTGTGCATTATAGCTCAAGGAATGTAATAAATGAATTAATTTATGATCTCATGTCATATTGGAAATAAAGTTTTCCTCTTTTAAATACAGAAACATGGGAACAAGCCGTTATACCAAATGGGCTGAAACATTAGCAAGCATTGCATCCTGCTTGACAGTTTCAGAAATCAATATTTGCATTAATTTCCTAGCTTTAAAATACACTAAGTAGTCTGATGGGATGAAAGAGGTTCTCAGAGAAAACAACATATGTGAGACAAATGCTTATAGGTTTGTGAGGAACCCTGAGGGGAAAATATTTTTGACAATAAAATATGGCTTCCTTTGTTACAGAAATTTGTAACCGAGTCACTTGTCATGGTTTCTTTCTACTTTCTACCTCATTTAAATCACTGGACACCTGCAAATCCATTTTAAAGATATATATATCACATCTTGTTTTCTTTATTGTCCCTTATTAACCTTTATAAAACATTCATTCACCTTGTTCTAATATATAAATCCTCATCTATATATAATGGACCAGTTTAGTATAGCAACTGATAATAAGATTGAGAAATTTTCTTGGGTTTTGTTTGTCATTTCTGGCTAAAAATATTTCATAATAAACGATGTTTTCATAACTGTGTAGCAGAGTTGTGCATCTGTTTCTGGATCCTCGAGGTGGAGTGAGACACAGCAGAACTTTGATGTAAAAAACCAAGCAGTGATCTAAATATTATTATCATCTCATCTTACATACAAATGTATACATGGTTGGATGGTAGGTTTAATCGCTTCATAAGGCTTTATGGAAATTTCAGGAGCTGTTAGAGCTGCAATTCAAAAAGCAGCATTTATGACTGTTTATGACTGAAATGTAAGTTGGTTGTTGTCAGCAGTACATGAAAACTGTTTTACATATAGCATGTCATCTTTTGCTACTAAGACACTGGTAAAGCACCCAGGTCCCTTTAACAATAAAGAAAAGATACGAGACTCATAAATTAGCATCAGTGAACAAAAGAGTTTTCTGTTGTGCTTTTCTAAAGAGTGTTCTTCCTCCATGAAAGTGCCTCTGTAGTAAATCCAACCCTTTAGGCATTTAATCATTTTATATGGATGTCTCGTAAATGTCTGGGCCTCACACTGGGAGCCAAGTGATCTTACAGTAAATATCACAGCAATAAGATGATGAATCTTTGTGTCTTGATAAAATGATGACTTGGATTACTTGATTATCACTTAGGAAAGTCATCATACAAAAAGCCAAGGCAGTGGGAATATTAATATTGACAAAAGAAAGAAGATTAGGTAAAATATATATCAACTTGTCCTCACTTGAAAATAGAAGCTCTAAAGGGTACATTTGAGACAGTTATCTAGGCCCCGTAAAAATTTGAATGTAAATACATACATTGTGGAAATGTGCAACCACACCTGTTAGTGATCTTTCATCCCAGAGTACTCCTGCATTTCTCCAAAATTGTGTTGTAATACATTGGGATCCTTTATTCACTCTGTAAAGGATTGGGCCTGAGTTACTGTAAGATCCCAGGCTCGCCCCACGAGCTCATCGAAGGGGTTTTATGCCAAAAGGTGTAAGGCGACAAAACCTGCCTGATGGATTTATTGAAGAGGCCTTAGGTTCTTTTACGCTCCGAGGCTACGTATGGGACAAATGTGACAATGTTTCTCATGAGGTCAAAATAAAACACTTCTAATGGCAAATTTTGGAAAATAAGTTTAAAGGAAACATTCAATCAACATAAAGAATTTCACAAAGCATTGACTTAGCAAATTCCAACTCATCTAGGTTTAAATTACCCAAATATCAAGAAAAGGAAATGCTGAGAAGAAGAATAAGGACAGAAAGAGAGAGAGAGACAGAGAGAAAGAGAGAGTTATAGCTACCACTTAGATCCAGTGCAGAACCAGCTACCGCAAATTCAAGAATGATAGGGTCGTGATGCATGGAGGACCTTGTAGTGTTGGTTTCATTTGCTCTGGACTCCTGTGGCCACCCTGCCCAGGTGGGATTTTGACATGCCAGCCGTTTGGGATCTGGGGTAGGGGCTCCAGGGAATGTGGCGTTGGGTTTCAATGTGGTGTGCCAATAGCTAATAGCCATTCTGGGCTGGACTAGAGGCTCCAAGGGCAGGGGGGTATGGAGCAATGCACCGCCCCAGCTTGGCAGAACTTGCCCTGGCCCTGTCATTAATAATTTCTTTCAGTCTCTGGCAGTTACAAATGAAGTACTTTGGGTTACAGCCTTCCGAAGTCTGCTAGCTTCAGAGGTTTGCTTGAGGCTTCTTGCTGCTCTAAGGAAATTGTTTGGAAATCATAAGAATGAGGTTAACTTTTGGGAGGGGAAAAAATAAAATAGCAAAATAGTATGCCTGTGGAAAAAGGTATTCAAAAGAAGGAAACAAAAAAAGCTGATGGAAGCCTGGCAGTGCCAGCAATAAACAAACATGATGATCTCGCATTGTTGAACAGCAGACAAAAGACCAGTATGAACCTGGGCTGTTTAAAAAAATAGGCATCAGGGAGACCTGATCTCTGTGGTCTGCCTCTGAGCTGCTGACCTTAGGCAAGTAATTTTTCATAAATATATAAATATATTTCCTTTCCCTGCTTTAAAACTGAAACAGAATTTTCTTTAATGCTTTAAAAAACTCTTGGGTTTAGATAAATTCTGTGTGTTGCTCCTCAGGCCACCTTAGCAGTACCAGCAGCTACAATGGGCTACCCACCTGTACTTTTTGTTCTTTAAAAAAAATTAAATAAGGAGAAGGAAACCTTTGATAGCAAGTCTAAACATGTTTATCACCTGCATTCAGGTTGTTATCTAAATCAAACATAGTTTTCAACTCTGTTATAATTCTTGTCAGTGGACAATTTCTCCCTATAAATCATGGATCTTTTTGAGTGCAAGCTTATAAATCATAGAATCGTAGAATATTCTGAGTTGGAAAGGACCCACAAGGATCATCGAGTCCAAAGCTTAGCCCTGCACAGGACCATCCCCAAGAGTCACACCATGTGCCTAAGAGTATCATCCAAATGCTTCTTGAACTCTGTCAGGCTTGGTGCTGTGACCACTGCCTTGGGGAGCCTGTTTCAGTGCCAAATCACCCTCTGGGTGAAGACCCTTCTTCTAACACCCTAAACCTTCCCTGACACAGCATAAGGCCATTCCATCAGATCCTGTCACTGGTGACCACAGGGAAGAGATCAGTGTCTGACCCTCCTCTTCCCCTCCCGAGGAAGTTGTATATTGAAGTGAGGTCTCCCCTCAGTCTCCTCTTCTCCAGGCTGAACAAATCAGGTGATCTCAGCCATTTCTCATGTGGCTTCCCCTGTAGGCCCTTCACCATCTTTGTTGCCCTCCTTTGGATGCTCTCTGATAGCTTTATGTCTTTCTTACATTGTGGTGACCAAAACAATATTCAAGGTGAGGCCACCCCAGTGCAAAGCAGAGTAGGACAATCACCTCCCTCGACCGACTGGTGATGCTTTGCATCATGGTCCCCAGGACATGGTTGACCTTCCTGGCTGCCAGGGCACTGCTGACTCATGTTCAGCTTGCCATCAACCAGGACCTTCAGGTTTTTTTCTGCTGTGCTGCTCTCCAGTTCCTTGTTCCCCAGTCTGTACGTACATCCAGGGTTGCCGTGTTCCAGGTGCAGAATCCAGCACTTGTCTTTGTCAAACTTCCTATAGCTGGTGATTGCCTAGCCCTTTAATTTTTAGAGGTCTCTCTGCAGCATCTCTCTGCCTTTGAAGCAGTCAACAGCTCCTCCCAATTTAGTATTATTAGCAAAATTAGTATCTCTTCCAGTCCTGATCCAAGTAACTTATGAAGATATTGAGGAGAACTGGCCCTAAGATGGAGCCCTGTGGAACCCCACGAGTGACAGGTCACCACCCTGATGTTACCCCATTTACTGTAACTCTTTGCGCCCAATGTACGACCCAGTCACTCATGCATCACATGACGTGTTTATCCGGCTTTATGTTGGACATTTTGCCAGAAGCATACTGTGAGAGACAGTATCAAAAGCTTTATGGAAAACCAAAAATATTACATCATCTGGCTTCCCTTGATCAACTAGGTGAGTTACCTTGTTGAAAAAGGAAATTAGGTTTGACAAGCAGAACTTTCCTCTCATGAAGCCGTGGTAACTGTGACCAATGACTCTGTTGTCCTTCAGGTATTTTTCAATACCTTGCAGAATAATCTTCTGTCTAATTTTACCAGTCACTGAAGTGAGGATGGCAGCCCTGTAGTTTCCAGGATCACCCTTCTTGAAAACTGGGACAATGTTAGCCAGCTTCCAGTCAGCTGGGACCTCTCCAGATTCCCAAGACCATTCAAAAATCATTGTGAGAGGCCTGGCAATGGCATCAGCTAGCTCTTTGAGTGTTCTTGGATGAATCCCGTCAGGCCCCATAGACTTACCAGGATCCAGCTGAAGCAGCAGATCCTGCAAAATTTCAAGGTCCTCTGGGAGTTTATCACAGCCATGGTCCTCCAGCTCAGGGCACAGGGACCCCCTTAGCTTGTCATAGAGTCTAGTAAGTTAGAATATTTTTCAATTATTCTAACTTGTGATTGCTTGCTATTCTCCCTGGGTCAAAAAGGCATCTTTCAGAATGGTAAAACAACTCTACTGAAGGTGGTGTTTCCCACCTATCCCTGGAAAACTCAGAGAAAGGATCATTGAAGTCTGGTGTTCTTTGGTTGGCTGAACAACCTACTCATCACCGGGAAGAACACAACCCTTTCAGGATGTAACATCTTGACAATTATGCAAGATCTGAAAAGCACTTACTACTTCTTGTGTATGAGCCTGGTTACTATCATACTTTTGTAACAATTGCAATTCGGCACTTTTATGTAATTATGATTGATTTTAGAAGTCCGAAAATGAAGTAAGGTAAGACCAGGTACTAGCAGATATGTGTACCTGCCACGGCCCGCGGGGAAAGGAGATGGGGACCGGGCACTGCAATAAGGGTTCGGGACACAGCAGAAGTCAGTGAAGCAATGCCAACTTTATTAGGGGAGCATGAGACTTAAATAGGGTAAGATAAAGGGGTGGAATCCGGCAAGGGGAGGAGTTTAGGATTGACATCTCCGGGGCACACATGATAGGGCGACTGGGTAAGGAAGGGAGGAGTTTTAGTGCTACCGGGGAAATGGACCAATGGCAGCTCTCCCTGCACTGCAGCACTCAGTGGCCAATCAGGTGCAGGGGAGCGGGAAAACAGGGGAACAACAAGGTTTAGGCGGGAAAACTGTGAGGGGAAGAAGGAGGCAATATGGAGGATAGGATTTTAAAACAACAACTGGGGTACACACAACACTATAACCATATAACAATAAACTGGGAAAAAAACTGGGAATAACAGGGGAAACTGTCCAGTCCATTGTAAAGCCATATCCAGTAGATAAATGTCCATTTTGGTGTAATTGCGTCTCATTCTGGGTTGTATATCTGTCTCCAAGCTTGGAACTCTTTCCATTCATCTTCATGTTCCCCAACATGTACCTACAAGGTAAAAAGCTTGTTATATTAGGAATTCTACAATTAAGTCATTCTACCAAGTGACAAATTCATCTTGCTGAATGATTTCAAACTGGGCAGTTGTTGAATCTTAGGCACAGTTCAAGATAGTTACAGCAATGTCAGGAAAACTCATATTGTTAATATAATAGAGCTAGACAGTCATCACCAGGACAAATATTTCAAAAAAGTGACTAGGACAAGATGATGGGATGCCAGTGAATCAAAAGTTAGCATTTCCTTAGTGTTGTCTTTATGAATGCCTTTTCGTAGCATAGTGTCAGTTGCTTGACTGCTGTGTGATCCAATTTGCTGATCTGATCAACAGCTAATACAAGGTTGGATGTCACATCAGACACCAAATGCTTGCAACACATAGGGTAAAAACATTATCCTGAAAAGTTGAAAGCAGCTGTTAGCAAGCTGCCAGAGGCTATTTTATATAACCAGCTGCATTTAACAAGTGCCTGAGAGGTAGGCAAATGACACATTGCAAAGATTTTCTCAAGAGAATTGGGAGCAGCATCTTCTCAGAAGACAAAGATCATCTTTTGGTGTCAGCAAATATTCTGTGTGACATCAAAGCTCATCAGCTAAACTGGAACACTGAACAGCACGGACAGTGTGAAAGACAAACAGTCCCATCTTTGTGAAGGACTGTGATATCCTTTGACATCTGTGAAAACTGGAATAACTTCTCATTCATAATTACACTCTGATGTGCTGTATTATTTGGAAAAGCCCCATTTAAAGTATTCTGGAGAAGATATTGTATAAAGTATCATTGCATTGAATTTACTGCAAATTGAATTTTTTTTATAAATAGGGTGATTTACTTGAGAATATCCTTGCAGTGTTTCAATACCATTTGTTCCCCCACAAAATTAAATTACTAGATCTTATTCACAGGGGTAAGTGCTAGCCTTCTATTTAAGTAACTGAGGCACAATACGGATAAAATGTTTTCCACAGGCTTGAAAAGTATCATGTATAAGGAAAATTTCTGTTCCTTTGGTTAAAAAAAAAGCCAAAAAAATGCTTTCTGTGGATTTTAATATTCTGTAGTTGAGTGCAGAATATAAGTATCTTTCCATTTCACTGGTCTTCAGTATACAGTCGACAATATTGTTTCTAAATGCAATGACTGAACTGGAATTGCATTAACAATTGACATATAATTATCCTAGTATTTGAGCAACTCCCTTTGGAACCAAAAATGAAAAGTTACCATCTTGACTGGCTACCTAGCTTATTTATGAAATGATTGCTTAGAAGCTAACCCACTGCTAATCTTCAAAACACTGCATAATTCTAAAATAATAAAAACTGTCAAAAAATATCATTCTGCCAATATTTTATTTCATTCCAGGATCAGTAAGTATGCACAAGCACATTAGAAATAACCCCTCAGTAGAAATATTTTTCGTGTTATTTTCCCCCCCCTTTTTTTTTTGTGTCAGTTCTTTAAAGGATAGAGATTGTGTTTTACACATTAAAAAGAAGTGATGAGAATAGATTTCTTTGCTGGATAAATGCACATTTATCCTTATGTTACCAAGTTTATGTTGAACACAGACTCAAAAATTATTTAAGCTGAAATAAACACATGACCAGAGAGAGGACAGGAAAGAATGCTTTATTACCTAGGGAACTGGGAATCCCTGACTTTCAGTAAGTTATTACTAAGGTGTATGACAAGAAGATGGAACAAAACTTTATAATCCATTATAACTTATTTGATTTTAGAAGTTGCTGAGACATATGAATGATTATTTGAATTTGTGTTTGAAGCTAGGTTGGTACCAAGTTCCTTGGTGCTGTGGATGCCAAAGGGTATGGGAGCCAAAGAAGATGAGTAGGATTGAGCAGAATGTGCACTGAAGGCTTTCACAGCTTAAACACTGGGTGAGCACCTAGAGGAAGATAGTTATTGCTCTGGAAATCTTTGTACTTAACACAAAATGCAAATGCTGGATACATAAAATGATGTTACATATAGAGCATAATAAATGTTATGAAAGGCAGAAAGATCATGGTAATGTTACGGGGTTGTTTTTTTGTGGTTTTGTGGGTTTTTCCCCCCTTTGGTAACAAAATTGATTAAGAGGACACCTAGAGAAAAGACAGTATGTAGGAGAGGAGAAGGAAGGATATCCAGGAGAAAAAGGGAAGGGATGAAAGAGCAACTACGAAGTAGAGTGTTGAGTCAACATGAAAAGATCTAAAGAGGTATGGGACATAACTAAAATATACCGCCCATCAGTAGCTGGTGGAGAAAAGCCAGTCAAAGCCGATGACATTTTTACTCACTTATTAGCAGCCTTTGCAGCTGCCATAAGCATCTTAATTTCTTCTCCCCAGAGACTTTTTCCTAGACAGTTTCCTGGATGCGAATGTGTCACATTTAATCTAACATCTCCTGAGGGAATCTTTCCGGTGGTTTCCTGTGACCACAAAGTGAGAGATTACCATGATTAGTTGCCAGTTCATATCTCGTCTCATCCTACCTTGTTCTGTTTCTTATAGTATATGGAAGATGGGCTATTTGCAGCACACAGTGTTTGCAAATTTTGCCATGTCTCTTCTCATACATTATTCAGCAAAAATATTCTGATTGTATAAACATGTTTATTTTGGAACTTATTCACTGAACACTTATATACAAACATATCAAGGTATGGGTTATTCATGAACTATTTGTTTTGATTTTGTTTTGAAGTCCTGTGTCTTTGTAGCACAATTGCTGTGGATGCTACTGTATTATTATTGCTTACTCTTCTGTTCATAACAGGTTAAAGAAGATTTCATGCTCACCATATGGAGAATTGTGAACTAGGTACACAGCAAGGCTCTTTTTTTCTGACAGGAAATAAAAGAACCTGTTTAGATATTTTTAAAAATAGAAAAGGTTCTTAAAAGTGTTAAATTGAATTCATAGTTTATATTCGAATGAATGCATATAAGCATTTTTTTCTCAGAACTTACTCATGTTTACTAGTCCTAAGCCAAGTAAGTGTTAGTGTTACTCTAGTTCTGAACAGATCTGCATGTGAGACAAGCCGTGAGAATTTTCCTTCCTTCTACTAATCTGCTCGCGTTTTTTCCATCAGGGGAAGACTTAAATTTCTGTTAAAATAGAAGACTTGTTACTTATAAATATTTTTGTCTAAATTTAAGGAATGAATTTAACGTCCATGACTTCTACCTCAAAATTGCTTGGCTGATATATTTTGCACAGAACAAGCTGAACAGAAACTGGACAAAGGTAGTCTTCTAAAGGAAAATAGGAGAACAGGCTTTTTAACCGATTGCAACTCAAAGCAAAACATGCCAAAAAGGTAAATCAATTTGGAAAATGGATGAAATAAGAGCATAGATTTGCTTTTTGAAACCTTCTACATTGCTGAAAATCATTAAAAAATGATTCAATAAAGAAAGACATAAAAAGTGTATTGGCTGAAACTTAGAGACAATTTAGAAATAGGCACTAATATCCCATGGAAAAGATGATAAAGCATTTTAACAAACTATCAAGAGAAGTGATGAATTTGATATCTTTTCTAAATCAGAACTGGAAATTACCTCTTAGCTACATCCAAGTTGCTGGCTTTGGTACAGATGGATGTTTGTCTGCACTGCCAGAAGAGGCAGGGTATGTGATTTAATGGTACTTTCTAGCTTCAAAATCAATTCTGCCTTTCTAGGTTTTCCAACAGGATGAACAGAAGGATAGCGGAACAACTGTGATGTACCTGTGAATCCATGACAGCTGCAGTATCTTTTATTACTTATTTGGCAGACAGAAGATTGCTCTACAACCACTTCTCTCTTCTTTTTGCTCTAGGAAGTCTCTGTCTCTTGAGCCATGGGAGAATTCACATGTATCTGGGGCTTATTTATTTACAGATTAGGTAATAGAGAGCAGGCTACACTAGCAAGCCTTTATATGATAGGCAGCCTCTGGATCTCTGAGAATATTTTTAATGACATACTGCCTGCATGATATATCTTAATCTTTTCCCTTAATGCTGCACTTTCATATGTGAAGCAGTGGCAGGCTTTACATAAATAAAACTAGTATGTATATAATAGGTTTGCAATATTTAGATTATTTGAAAGCTAGCTGGCATATAATTTTATTTTATTTGACTAAATCCATGCATTTTCTGCAATGCAATTCCAGTTTGCAGCAAATATATCAAATGACAGGCAGACTTTTTGAAATAGTTGAAAAAAAACAATCTTTTGAACTGACAGATGAACGATAGTAATGTGAGAAATTGCGATTTATTTAAGAAACATGAACTCTCAAAAATCTCTTTGTGACATCTTGCTTCCATTTTGCTGTGCTATGAATGTGACAGTAAATATTAGCACAGGGTAATGTAAGAATACAACTCAAAGAATCAATATATGAAAACTATGATAGTTGCTGGAGACATGTTAGTATGTTCATAGCAACTTTACTGCTTAAACCAGATATTTTAGTTATGCAGATGGGTAAACATGTTCCAAGCAGCTGTTAAGTTCACTGGCCAATGCCCCGAAAATCCAGCTGTGTGCTAAGCTTCACCGCTGAACTTTGCAAAATCACCTTTAAGTGAAAGAACAAAAGGAATTTTAAATAGAGAAGTTGTGCCAAGTCTCTGCTTCTGTGTGAATTTAATTTAAAATAATTAAAATTTATATTTTAGTATTACAAATCAAACACTCCACTGCTTTTATTCTCTTTCTTTTTTTTTGGTTCCTCTGAATTGTTATGTTATCCAGCTGTAGATTTAATACTTTAATAAAGCATACTTCTGAAAGTTGAATAAACATGTTACTTGTTAATGCATTACACATATAATTAATTGTATTTATTTAAAAAAAAAAGAGAAAACTAAACAGAGCAGTTTGTCTGTTTACTGAATATTTGTCTCCAGAGAAAATTTGTAAAGTATTAACCATGAAATTTTTTTAATAATTTTACTAATCCACTGCTTTTATTCACAGATGGCAGTTATGCCTCTATGTTAAGATAGACAAGAAGTGCAAAAATTAGACTAAGGTGATAGAAAAAGGTGAAGGGCAGATGTTATAAAATCAGTTAATCTTGTCAGCTGCTTTTGAATATCTTTGAATATCAGATATCTAAGAACAAATGTGTCGTTAAAAATTAAATGTAATGTTTCAAATTCTAATAAGAATTAGGTTCTAATCCTGTAATGTGGCTCTTATGCTCAGTTTTCACATTTATTTTTAGTCTAGTGGAATGCACATTTAGATTATGCTGGATAAGGTACAGAAACAGACCTTGGAAGAGAGATCAGAATGCAGGATAATTTTTACTGGTACCACTTGGAAACTGGGGTTTTTACCTGTTAGTCAGTTCAACATTGACGATTTCTGAAAAGGAAATTTTTGCAGTTGAAAAACATCCAGCCCAAAGAAAATTTAGGGCATTGATAATCAAGCAGCAAGACTCAAATGACCTAAACAGAAAACAATGCGATGACAATTCCAAGTACAGTAGGGAATATAAATGATAAGGAATATCAAGAAAAAAATGACACCTTTTCTTGCTCCTAACCTGTACACCTTTCCCTTAGAATAAGGAAAGAAAGATAAAGCATCAAGATTGATGTTTCTTTCTGATGTCATAGCTTTATAGCAAATCCATACTCAACCTGTCTTTAAAACAGCAGAAGTTAATTAACTGCTTTTGAAGCTTGATTGGATGACATAAATCACTGACTTAATTCTTTCACAGAATGTCTTTTAAAATCTACTTTATAACAATATAAATCAATTTTGGACCATCAATAAGGCAATCAAAGGCATACACTCAGACTGCAGTCATGCTTCTGGGGTAGTTGAAGGCACTATCTCACTATTCAGGCAGAATATCCCCTAACTATATTTAATTTTTATCCTTCTGTCTTGAGCTTCAAAAGCTAAAACAACAATGAATTAACCTAACCTGCTCTGCTATGTACTTCTAGCATGCAGTCCAAAGAAAGACTTTGGCCAAGGTTTACTTTTCACATGGAGGCTCTCCAAGGAATTTATGGGCTATGTTCACTCATTAATATGAGTATTAGGAAAATAAAAATTAATTCAGTAATGTAGTAAAAGAGTACTGTTAATATTATGGTAGCCACATCATTATATTTGAAGAAATGATGATTATTCTTGTAGTAAAAAGAATGATATATAATAAACTCTGTAATGACAATATACCAAGTTCTCTGCTACACAGAGAAAAAATAAGTTGTGATATATGATTTTAATACATGAAGCATGCCATGCTTATCTTGGAATATTAAAAATAAAAATCTGTGGCTTATTTTGAGACATATTTATTTACAGATAAAAACATCTGTTAAAATATTCTGTCATAACATCAAGAAAGAGAGAAATTAACTTTTAAAAAGAAACTCCCTTATACGCCCAAGCCCATATTGGAGTTTTGGAAGGTCTGATTCAGTTGCATCTTGATGGGTTTCAGCTAATTGTCTCACTCTCTTGCCTATTGAACATGTATTTAATTTCATTCCATTTCACTTTCCTGCTAGTAACATTTTCCCTGTTGCTTTACAAATATCTGTAATATGACATGCAACAGCAACAATTGGAAACTCTCTTCCATGTCCACCTGCTTTCCATCTACTAAATGTACCATTGTGAATCAACCAGTCCATATTCCTGAGCATCATCGCCTCTTTTCCATCCTACGAGATGAAAAGTACAGGAAAAATGTTCCTCCTCTTATTAAGATCAGCATTTACTGATGTGTTGCTCCTTGAAGGGCTATAATTGTGTACCTCTTTCTTTTGTTTGTTTTACCAGCAGAAAAGATGCCTGAAAGGATTTGAATAAGGGTGCGTATGCATCTCTTCCCTATTACACTTTGATTAGCTTGATGCTTCTGTGCTTTCCTGTATATTATTTAGGATAATAACTTTGTGAGGCTAGATAAACTTGGATACCCGAAAAGTGGCTGGTAAATCTAAGGTTTCCTTACACACTGAACTTTTTAGCTATTAGGTAGTTTTTTGCTTCTAATAGTGGATGATCATAATTCTGTAGCATGAAAACAACTGTCCCACTCTCAAAGTTTACCTTGAATCCTTCTCTGGACATTTGGGTAAGCATGGCACATGGCTGCAGCAGTGTGCCTTTCTCAATTCAGTAAATTAGCCACTGGGTTGTAGTGCTGATGTGACCAGGAATGTGTCGGATGACTCATCACTGCAAACCCTGATACAATATTTCTTCCTGCTGAAGAATGATTTGGTGATTTTCATGGAGTGTTTGAAGCACTTGCTTTGCCTTGGTTGCCTAATTATCACTGCTCCTTGGCAGCCTGGAGGCTTTGCTGAAGTTCCTGAGATGACATCAGTCATGGGTCTTTGTTCTTAAAAGAAAAGGGGAGCTTTGCCATTCTGTTCAGGCTCTGTGTTTCTCCTAACAAAATAGGGAAAACCAGAATAGAGTTCAAGACAGGTTATGCTGTTATTTTTCATGCAGCAGAAATTGGTGAGAATGAAATACAGGCAAGGCAACATAGGCAGTTGGCGAGTTGGGTCCAAACTAGTTCAGAAATAATGAGCTTGATACAGAAATTACTTTATAAAATAACATGGCATTTCTTATGCTCCAAGTCAGAATTGATCACTGTGATGATTCCTCCAGACCTCAAAATCTATTAGTTCAATTTAAATTAATTAGAGGTACCTTTCCAGGTTTCTAAGAAGTCGACTTATTGCCTCCTTAATGAAGAAATCCTATGGTATTTAATGCGGGTGAATCTGTACAGTGCTGCACATATTTAATATGATTATGCACATTTAGTAATTACTCTATAAGAAACTGAGATAATGGAAAATCACATAACTGCTTCTGAATTCAATACTGTTCATTGCTATGAAGTTTTCTGCTAGGTTTTACTGGATTGTTTTAAAAAGCTACAAAAAAGGTACAACTTTCTTACTGATACCACAGGTATTCTGTGATCTTATGTGATGTTTGCTTCAGTAAAGGAATATTTATTTTTTTCCTAAATTTGTATTATGTACTGTGTGTAGAGCTGTAATTTTGCTATATGGTGTGTATGTTACATATGTTAGAGCAGTGAAGTCTGTGGTGTGTAACTGAAGAAAGAGGTTTGACAGCAGCTCCAGATAGGAGAATGAAGAACAAATACATCCATGTATTCTTCAAAAGAACTAACTTAAATCTGCATGAATGAGTTTAGAAATCTGTGCAGACTCTGATTTTCTCAGATAAATGGCACATAGGCTATGCCATCTGATGATAAAGTTCAGTACTTGTAGGTGTGTAGTACTTAGGAAGAGCATGTCTGCTGATTAAAATGCTCAATAGATGCTTGATAGAAAACTAGTATTTGGTAAAAATGCATAAAGCAATGTCCAAAGAACTAATTATAAGTACACAGGAGGCAGATATGCTTTGGTTCCTTAAGAGTTTGGTATGACAACTGAATTTCGATATTTCAAGAGTTTGACAATTTGACTGTTCTATACCACTGTGATCATCACTACACACTGTTCTGCTAACTGCCTGCCGTACTGCCTGAGACCAAAGAAACCTGATTGCTGTGCCAGGTCCTTAATTTTGTGGACCTGGACCACTGCTGGTGGGAGAAGCAGACTTTGGAGTGGTCTAATGTGTCTATAAAAAAATCAAGCACTTCGGTAAAACTGAAGCAAGTTGGTCCAGTTTCTGGAATGCCAGTAATTTGCTGTGAAAATCATAATAAATTGACCTGGGTCATACATAATAAAAATAATATTTTCTACAATTATTTAGTCCTTCAATATTTGGCTCTGTTAAATATGTATGAGTAGTTTACTGAGTAGGTCAATGCCAAAAGATACATACAACAATTCTTTAGAAATTTAGAGGCCATTAATATTGATCAGAAGCACCTCTTCAATGGTCCTATGATTTGACCCTTACCAAGAATAATTATGTTTTCTACTTGAGTACACTACAAGGAGTTAGGGTTCAATATATGTAGCATAGGCTGATTTTGATATCTATGCCCTAGAGCACCTCTGTATTTATTAAATTGACTGTATTGTTTTTGTCCTAATCAGAATGAAACTTTAGTATCCAAAAAACTGATACACTGAAGGAAGGGGACATTTTTTTAATATGTGTTATCTTTCTGAAGAAGCTGTATATTCACTTGCTTGCTGATAATTCAAATTAATTATGAACAGCCTTTTTAAGTAGATAGGGTTTTTTTCTCTTCATTATATTTTAATCAATAGTTTTGGAGCGTTTCCTTTTAATATAGCAGGGATGTATCCTCTGGTTGCCAGAGAATTAGATTTTTATGTCTGAAATTATGCAGAGACTGATTTAAGATGTGATGAAACCTCCTCAAGCTACAGTTGTCTGGTGTACACTGTGGTAAATTTTGACCTTGTCAGGTGAAGACAGTTGAATTATGATCCAGCCTCTGTGAGAAATGATATGTCTACCATATTAGATTAATTTCCTGTAAACTTCACCATTTTGCATTACAAAACCTTGTAAATGTCATCTTTATCCATCATCATGCAATATTTTGATGCTGCTTATGGAACAGTTCCATAACAGTTCCATTTAATTCTCAGCTTTTCTAAAGAGTTCTATTTCACTTTTAAATTATGCTTTTTAAGTTCTGTATTTTTATTTTTTTTTCCCCAAGTCTTCACAGTAACCTTAGAAAGTTAATTAATGTGGCTTAGTTTCACTGTAAATTATTTGACAGAACTTCTCTTTGAGAAAGACTGGTTTATTTTTTTCCTTTTATCATATTTTCTGTGAAGAAAAAA